GTACAGAGTAATGTAGTTCATTCTCTTCAGCTCAAAAATGTGGACACGAAACAAATAAAGAATCGCACAAACACGTTGGTGTGTTTGCCTGTGCTTTCATTACTTGATCATTCAGCAGCACGGCAGAATATGCCACTGCAGGGTTGTGGCAAGAGGGCTGGCAGTGATTTCTGCCTGGTGGATATCAGTCACCTTCGCCATTGACACTCTTCCGAAAGTTCTGCGCATGCGCAAGGATCAATGACAGTTTTGTTAGGACATGCGATAGGCAGCAGCTCACCCTTCAGATGGTGGCAGTGGCTGCCTAGCAGGAGCAAGCGCCCCGATCTTTGGACCATCGTTACCCCCCTTTCTCTGTCCTCGCTTGGCCGCAGCTGTGCTCCTGCTCTTAGCGGATGCAGGCTTCTTATTTGAGCCGCCCGTCCCAATTACCTCACTGTCTGTGTCAGGCTCGGGTGAATCCTCGTCGCTGGGCTCACTGTCTTCAGGCTTGTACTCCGACTCCTCCTTGAAAGACTTAGGAGCAGCAGCCCTTCGTGTTGCTCTGCCCTCGTTCACGTTTGCTGCTGTGACTTCTTCCCCTGCCCCCCGTGACATTGAATGGGTCACTGCAGGCTTGCCACCCCAACCCAGGTGAAACGTCTCGTCCACCTTGTTTCGCACCAACCCCAGCAACACTTGGAACTTTTTGGCGAACCCTGCGTTACTGCCGCTCTTATGGCCGAGTAAACTGGGCCCCTTACCAGCCGGGGGGTTGCTGGATGTGCTCGGGCCAGTCCTGCGCTTAGCGGCTGTGCTGTCGCCTGCGCCGACAGACGGCCCGGCCGGCCCGCTGCGGCGCGGCTTCTTGGCGGCTTCCTGCGCACTGTCACCGCTCCGCAGCGGCCGCTTGCTAGGAGAGCCTGCCGCCACTGGTCCCCCCTCTTTGGCCCTCTTCCTGCCCTTTGGCCCACCCGAGCCATTCGCGCCAGTGTTACCGCCAGTATGTGGTTGAGCCGGCGCTTCCGCGGTGTCCGGCATGGAATCGTCCTGTGACGGCAGTGCAGCCGCTCTTCCCAGGGAGTCTGAGCAGTGCCGACCCCTGACAGGTGCACGAGAGCCCGCCATGCCTCTTCCACCGCCACGACTGACGCCCCTGGCCCGGCCCCGTCCCCTGCCCCTCCCCCTTCTGACAAATGTCCTTTCAACGGGTGGAGCCCTTGAGCTCTCCGCCGCCCCCGGCTGCGCATCACCTCTAGCTGCCGGTGTTAGAACGCTTGGAGCCCCCCTGCTCTCTGCAGGTGCCTGCTCCATGTCACCAGCAATCGCTGGCTGGCCGAGGCTCTGCGGAACTGGGTACCCCCTGGCTTCGGCGGTCTCCCTGGCAGATGCCTGTCGCTCCAGCATGCGCTGCTCCTCGTGCGTGCACCTCTTCTCCTCCTTGCTGAACGGTGAAGGGTTGTAGGGGTCTGGCTTGTGGGTGGCCCGCTTTGGCCGTCCGCCACGAGGCGTGTTGGGCGCACTGAGGGCAGGCGAAGTTTGGACCTGCTCTTCCAGGTGCGGCACCTTCAGGTGCGGCAGCTGCGGCGGGGAGGTGTGCTCCACAACATCCTGGGTGGCTGGCTCTGGCGGCGAGCCCAACGCGGAGTGTTGATCGACCTCGACCGGTTTCCTCGGCTTGCGCGCCTGCCCCAGCTGCTGCTTGCCTGCCTCGTCTGCAGCGCCTGTCCAGGTTCCTGCATTCGTGCAACACTACCGTCAGCACATTCATTTACTATGTCAGCTGCGGTGGGTAAGTCCCGTTTTTCCTCCTGACAAGCAACACATGATATTTATAGCATGTGTGCAGTACTTCATTGATCCATCAAACTTCATAGCAGAACATGTCTTACCTGACTTTGTAGCAATTATCTGCTCGGCGTGCATCTCCTCCAGCACCAAGATGGCCTGGGGGCATGAGTGCAGAATTCTCTTTCCCGGCGGTTTGATCCACACTTTGTTGGTGGCCTCATGCTTGCCCATCTCCCAATTTGCTGCCAAGGGCTCCAGGTGCAGCTTCCCCTTGGCCGCCAGCTTCTTATGAAGCAGCTGCCGCACATGCGCTGCTGCGCTGCCTGGGCAATCTGCTGCGCCGGACCCTTGGAGAACTTGCTCCTCAGCATGTGCCTCCACGGCTGTCGGCTGGCCCGGAGCATCATTCCCCTCCACAGGTGCTGGGGTTGCCCCTGCAGCCTCTGGCTGCTCACCCTTTGCAGAGCAGGCACATGGCCGTGCACACTGTTGCCCTGCCTCATGCTGCTGCTGCTCATGTGCGCCCTGATTGTCCTGCTCCTGTTCCACGTCCTTGCAGCCTGCCGCATCGCCAGGCCCGGCTTCTGCAGGATCTGGTTCGCCGTGCATCAGCTGCTGCCACATGTTGTCGCGCTCATTGAGATACTGCACTTCACGGTCTGACCTAGTTGATCGCTGCGCGGCCTTTCTTTGCTCCTCCCATTCCTGTCGCTCGTCTTCACCTAGAAGCGGCACTGACTGGGACCGTTTCGACTCCACAGGCTCTGCACCACTGCTGGCCGCCTCGGCACGAACCCCCGGCTCATCGGCGGCAACGCTGTCGGCCCGGGGGACCGCAGCTGCCTGTTCAGGCAAGGTTGCCTCTTCAGCCTGCAACGGGCATGCAGGGGGCATGCGTGCAGTGCTGTTGCAGAGGCTCGTCTTGTGAGCTGCAGTGCGCAGCCTGGCTGCCATGACCTCGCCTTTGGTGACGCTTGTGTCTACAACATCCACCGCCAATGTGCTGGTCCGAGAAGGTGTGTTGTCCTGTATAACAAGAGCACTATCGCTTTGGCCCTTGTGGTGATATTCCTGTCAACACCATGTGGCCTTTAGGCCTCACAACAGTCCTGTGCAGCTATCTCAAACTCTGAGGCCTCAGAGCCAGAATATGACATGGAGCAAATTGCAGTGATGAGAATACTCCAGTGCATAGATACACCAATTGTGATGGGGCGCACTGTGCAATGGTTCTCCTTGGATGATCTTGGGGATGCAGCATTAGTCTGAGCGCTCCTCGCATCGGCTGCAGGATGCCCGAATTACTTCCATCAGCATATAAATGCATATATTATGTTCAGGCGTCTCAGTGTGATCATCAGATTCGACACATGGTATCGACTTGCAGGCAGTCACAGCACACAGGACAGAGGCCAAAGTGGGAAGGGCGATTGCAGCAATAACAGAAACAAATCTTATGTCCCGAGTCATCATGTTTGATGGCATACTTACTTGCAGCCAACCCGTTTATTTCCTGGTTCTTCGTGATCTTGGAGGCGTTTGCTGTCCCGGACTGCAGCCAGCCATCAAAGGTTTGAGTGTCAATGATACAACTCGTATTTATTTGCAGAGCACTAATTAAGCCTGAGCAAAGCCAGCAACGGAACGGATTAAGCCGCATCAGAAGGCGCTACCAGGGCAGGCACTCACCCCAGGACGTCTTGAAGAAGCAGAGTGGCTCCTCAGCATAATCTTTCCGTCTGAGAATGCCACCTTCTGACTGTCCCCTTGAAGGGCGAGCACAACAACATCCTCCTTTAGACTGCCAAAGGGCTGCAGACTCTCATACCCAGAATCCTCCAGCAATTTGACCAGCTCCTGCATTGGAAGACATGTCAGTGCTGCCCAAAAAGTGCCACAAGTCAGTCTGCCACATACATGCACAGAAGGAAGCCACGTGAAGCACTGGAGGAAGCTGGTCTGGGAAGGCTTGCCTGTGGCGTGCATTCACTCTTGGAGCGCAAGATCTCCAAAGCACGCTCCTTCAGGAGCTCGGCTGGGGCTTTCTTATGCCAATTGCATCTTGGGGCTAATCTCCAGGCGCCAGTTCCGACCCCATGGCTTGCACTTTGTCCGGAGTCATGATGCAGGCATTTCTCAACGAAAAGGCCTGGAGCCTTGCCAACGGTGTCTCTGTGTAATTTGTCAAGAAAGCAAGCTACCCTCTGGTCGTCTGTGCTGCTATCTTGAGCCCTCCCTATCAGCTGCCTGGCTATGTCATCAACTTGCAAGTACTCAGATCCCACTTTTGACAGTACCCTGAATATATCCTTGGCAATATCTTCGTCACAAAGAACCTCTGCTGCAGCATGGGCATGCTCAAACAGATCGCCAAGGTCCACCCCCTCCCAGCCAGGCCATTCCCTCACTCTTTGCTTTAGAACCTCTGCGGTTTGCCCAGACATTTGTAGCTCCTCAGATCTCAACAGTGCCATGTGGGACAAGTGATGTCCAATTCTTCGCACATCTGATAGTTATGGCGGACTACAGTTCCACACTCGATGCACAGACATCAACACTCAAAACGGCTCCTTCTTTGCAGTGGTGCAGCATAGCTTCCTTTCCATGTGGGTTTTGAGATGCATCACACCATACTTATTAGGCTGTGGTGATAAGATCTGCCTTTCGAGGAGCTGGGAATGTTCCCGTGCTGTGAAATGCAGACCTTGAAGGAGCCAACTTAGGACCTAAAGGTATGTCCCAATAGAAACATTTCAACGCCATGTCGCTAATGCATGCATGGTCACTGTGACAGTGACGAACCTCTGCGGCAGAACCTGTGTCTTGAGATCAGTATACAATCTATGGTAAGTGCACACGTGCATGCTGCACTGCCATGCAATTGCTACAGCTGTACATGTAGCCGCTAGCCTAGCCGCTGAGCGCGGCGCAGATGGTGGCTCAATAGACACTAATCTAGAAACCCTGTCAGTCAAGAGATTTTGGAGAAAGCATGACTGGCATGGTAAGGCAAGCATTGACCCGTAGCAAAGCAACTTTTGAATTTCAACCCCGTGACGACGTCATCATATGCATGATCATAATCATGTGCAACTTGCAATACGGTATATTTTTTGCTGTTGCGCATGCATATAACTACACAGCACAGCATAGAGATTGCCTTCTCAAATTTCTGGCCGTCCAAGCTGTTCTGGACAAAGGAAAAGCAAGAGAAAGCCAAAAAGGCAAAACGTGATCGGCAGGACTCGAACCTGCGCACGTCTCCGTAATAGATTTCTAGTCTATCGCCTTAACCGCTCGGCCACGATCACGGACGTATTGGCAAGGGGGCAATTTCTGTGGGCCATATAGAGACGTCTTGATTCTCGTCTCCGACCTTCCTTGCACTGGATGTTCCGATGCACTGGATGTTCTCCTGATGTCGCCTCGTATAACGCATGGCGGTGGCAAGACGCATACAAGGCGCTCTTTGCTTCACCTGCGTGCTGTGAACATCACCGGTCTCAAGGCACAACGCCACGAGGGGCGTTACGCTTTCCTTGACTTCAGAGCATCGCCAGGCACCACGAATACTTTGGTGATACATGGGAAGCCACAAGGGGATGGACAAAGAGCCGAAAGTACTCGACTACCACGATGTTCTCCTGTACAGGAGCGACGTAGATCTCCTCACAGGAGACAACTGGCTGAATGATCAGGTGCTGGGTCATGCGTCCTCCTGAGGAAGGACATGGCCGGCAACAATATTACATAAAAAAAGATCCTGACGCCTATGTTTGTTGGTCAGATCGTTTCTTTCTTCTTCGAGTACCTTCAATTGGAAAAGTATGCACGTCTCAAGGACATATTCTTCTGCGGGGGATCTCTGAGCTTTCTGTTGTTGCACGGAGGTAAACTGGTACAATCACGACTTTCTCGCTGCACCATTCATGTCTGATGAACCCAATTCACAGTTGAGCTCTGAAGACCCCAGTTGAGGACAGCTCCTCGTGCAGATCCCATGGACATGGAAGCTATGGTTGCCCCACTTGAGGTAGTTATTGTGATTGGATCTATCCAAGTTGCCATGCAATGCCTATAAATGCAAGCACACCGGCGACGTTCCAGCTCTCTGACTCAGAATGTGCCTATTGCATGCCAGCTGAGGCAGCGGGAGATGGTCCTCTTTGCCTGCAATGACAACCCTGATCCCTCATCAGCAAGTGGAGGCAGCCACTGGTGAGGTAGATGGAAGCCGTTCATCCACTTTTGAAGTTTCCAGACAGCCAAAATGTGATGAGCAACCCAATGTGTCTAACAATGCTTTGACACAAGGTCTGTGGCTGTCTGTGCACAGGAGCCTGCTTACTTACACAAAACAAGACAGCAAGTTCCGACATTACAACTCAGCTAGGGGAATGAATGAAGAAGCGGCCAGGAGTTTGGCCAAGAATGCCTGGAACTTGCTCGGGTGTGACCTGACGCAGATTGAATTCATCACTTTGAACCTCAGTCTCTGCGGCTTGATGATTTCTCGAAGGTGAAATGTGAAGGCCTGTTATGATAAATATTTTGGTGCATTTTGCAGGAGCGGAGGAAAGTTCAAGTACACAAATGTATACACTCCTCAGCAGATCAACTCGTATGATTGTGGGCTGTATATGCTGGGTGAGCAACCTCAGTACCCATTAGCAACCTTTGTGCTACATTCCAACTCTTTCATCTTCCATGAACATAGGCACAAAGGGCAACAGTTTTGGAGAGGCTGAGGGCTGCCTTGCGATCCATGTGTAGTGCAATGGTGCAGAATTTGTAGGTTAGTCCGGGGCGCAAGAGCACTTTCGAAAGAATTCTGCACATTTCTAAGGGCACGGTACACCATTTCTTGAGGAGATTTAGTGGCTTTTGCAGGCACGGCAGACATCATTGCAGATTCTTATTCAAAGGGTCTGCTAGGAGTTGAATTTGCGGTTCAGACCAGGCTCACTCCAGATGCTGTGCACAAGATGAGGTCTCACATCCTGGACCTCATTATGGAGCGGGCAGGGAAGGCCTCAAAGCAGCAGGCTGGACAGCCATGAGCTGAATATGAAGCGTTGATATAGGCTGAAGAGACCTAGGTCTGCAGCAAACCCAGTACCGGTACAGTGGTACCACTGTGGTATTGAGTTGTGTCAAGCGTGAATTCTGCAAAGTGGTTTGACACTTCCTTGTGTCAATTTAAATCTAGTCCTCAACTACAGTAGCAAAAAGACTCATGGACCTTGGAGCCCCACATGTACATGAGGTGTCAGATTTGACAACTGCACATCTGCACAAATCTCTTCATTTCAGGCAGAAACTTTAAATTGTTTAAACAGCACTGTATCTGTGGACACCACCGATATGCTGGCATCACCAGCCTGACTGGTAAATTGCCATAACATCTCACAGAGTCGTGCACGACATCTGCATGCTACATCAGCCTTGCCGGCCACTCTGCTAGAGGTCTGCTGCGGCTGCGCGGCCGACGCCCTTGGGCAGCTTCTTGGCGGACGGGTCGTCCAGCTCCTTCTTGCTGTAGTAGTGCGGCGCAATCTCGATCAGCCAGGCCGGCTTGATTTCGGACACCGTGCGCATGAACTCCTTGGTCGTCATCACCAGCTCGTGGTAGATCACCCACCGCGGCATCACCTGCATGCACACTTTTGTCACTTCCCCGAGATGTGCAGAATCCAAAGAACGCTGTCCGCACTTGCCAAATACCTGGCCAAAAAACAAGAGCAAGCTTGCCCTGTAACTTGCTATATACTGCTCACCAGACCCCCCCTAGTATGGCGCCGACAGCCGCCTCAACATGACGCCTCACATGAGAAAGGTCTGCTTGCGCGATCTCCCATCATTAAATTCGCTTCAGTGCCGCACACACTGCAAAATTCTTGAGTAGTCCTCTGGCCCACCCAGGACTTCCATACCTACTTCTACCCTGGCACCCACACTACCTCTGCCCCTGGCACCTATGTCTGACTCGATACAAATCCACATAAATCCATTTCTGCAATCAAAGAGGAGCACAGAGCATGCACGTACCTCGACAAGGCCGGAGGAGGGGTGGATGTGGACGGTCTGGGGGTTTTTGACAGTGCGGTAGGTGCCGTTCTTCTGCAGCAGCGCAGAGTGGTAGAAGAAGCCGGCGGCGATGGCCTTGCGGATGACGTCGTGGTCCCCCACGCTGCTGGACAGCTCGATCTCCACGCGCTCCATCAGCCCCAGCAGCTGCTCCCGGATGTCCCGCGCCCTTTTCATGCTCCTCACCTGATACATACACGCATGGCATGTCAATCAATCAAGACACGTCATGCCCTGGGGACAGCAGGACTTTTGGGCCCTTCTGCATGCATGCTTGCACCGCATTGGAACCTCGATGCAGTGTGCTTCACTTCTTTTTGTAACGACCAACTCCACGCCCCAACAGGCGCAACAGGCCGCATGGGAGCCTGAGGGAAGGGACAATTATCTCACTGGACTCGAGAAGTAAGCCCACTGCCGCTCATCACAACACTAGTCTGCAGGCTGGATGAGATGCGCAAACATCACCAGGACGACATAACTAGTGCAACGCAGGTTGTGTGAACACCCCCAGCTGCTTCGCAACCCGGCATGATCAAGCCCCTTCCAAAGTGCGGCCCTGCGCGCGCACCTGCACGAAGTTCTCGTAGCACCACTGCGTGGAGAAGCCGGACTCAGCCCAGGCATTGAACACGTTGAGCAGCGCAATGTGGTCGCCCACGTTGCCGCGGTGGAAGGCGCGGTGAGCGTTGTCTGCGTGCACGGCCTTGTCCTTGGGCCGGTAGAACACCGCGCCGCCCACGCCCAGCATGGCTGCTATCGATGCCGCCTCCTCCGAGCACTGCAAATGGCACAATAGAATTCAATACAGCCCCATATTATCTCGTTCTGTCCTTCCAGCAAGGGCTTCAAGACAGCAACACAATGACCGTTAAGCACAGCCCATCTCCCAGCTCCCCTGGGAGCACACCAATGTCGATATTTTTGCACTTCAGCCGGGAGGTTTGCTGAACGTGGAGACTCGAGGGGTGCGCTCTACTTTGTGTGCATGGAGAGACATTGAAATTGCAGGCATGCAACACAGTGTGAAAGTGCTGCATGCAGAACAGGCCCATCAAGACGGGCTCAAACAATGGTCAAGAGTGCCCCATGCAGGGGCCTGTCTACAGAGTGGCGACAGCACACCTTGTAGGTCTCAGAGGCGATCAGCATCTTGGCGAGCATGGGGTCCAGCGGGAACTCGGCCATGCGGCGGCCGAGCTTGGTGAGCTCGCCCTTGTCATTCAGGGCCCCGAGCGCGTACAGCTGCTCCAACGCCCGGAACAGTGTCTCTGTCGGCGGCGGGTCCATGAAGTCGAAGTTCATGAGGTCATTGATGCCCAGCGACTTCAGCATGAGCACCACATTGCCTGCATGTGCCAGCAGCAGAGCCCTTCAGCCCATGCAAAGATTTCCCCAGAAACACGACAATTGAATCAATTCAGTGTTGAAAATCACTGGATGCCAGAAGTTTTTTATACCACCACATGATGATTCGCCAAGGAGATTCCTTTGAAGAGAGTTGCTCTAACAATTGCGCTGCACAGGAGCCTGGGCATGGCGCTTTTCACAAAGGGAACCACTGCAGTACAGGCAGGACAAGCAGTGGTGACATTAGAACCAAATTCACAGCTGGTGTTCACGAAGAGCTCGGGTGGTGCTCACCAAGGTTGGTGCGCTGGATCTCTGGGATGGTGTTGTCCTCCAGCTCATGCTGGTAGGAGTAGGCCGTGTAAAGGCGGAAGCACATCCCAGGGGATGTGCGCCCGGCGCGGCCGGCACGCTGCTGCGCGGAAGCCTTGCTGACGGGCGTGACTACCAGGGACTCCATGCCAGTTTTGGGACTGTACGCATTCTGCTTGCAGAAGCCTGGATCGATCACATACTGCGCGGCAGCACAACCCCCTGTCAGCTACGGGTGCACCAGCTTGTGGACAGATCAGGCTTATGGTGTTTAAACATTCCAGGTGGGTCATAATGGGCAGAGCATGACACAGCTCCATGCCGCTCAACAGCCATAGCATGCTGACCTGATGAGTCTCTTCCTGCATATGGTTCCTAACACCACACCAGATTGAATACAGGATCATGTGGTGCTCTGTACGCACCGATGAATAAGTTCCATACTTTGTGGAACTTAGCCCAATGTGACAATGGTTTTATCAGGTCAGGTGACGTGTAGCACAGGGCAATGCAATAGCTTGTTTGCAGGCACCCACTGCTCAGAGAGAAGTTGCGAGCTCTA